GTCCCTGGATAACTCCCACGAGTTCTTTTCCAGGACACCTCCCCACATAGGAAGAGGACTTTTCATAGACGGGTGAGTTGCCAGGGAGCGTCTCCCAACGGTCTTACCGTAGTTTCCTGTCAGTCAAGGTGGAAAAAGAAAATCAGGAGAAAATAAAAACGAATCTTAAGGTCATCAGGGTCAAACTCGGCCTGTCAGCAAATAGTAATCAGCTGGTGGTGTTAAAAGTGTACTTTCAGTAGGACTGTGGAACTTTTATTTTGAAGTTCTAGGCTGCCCTAGGGTCTCTTCCGTGACCTTTGACCTTTCTAAAGTAGCTCTGCAAAGGCTTTTATTTTGACAAGATTCTTCAAACAGGTGTGTTTTATTGTTTTTTTATCTCTGTGGCCCTGTGATACATGACCAATACTGGTCCACGACCCAGTGGTTGAGCACCCCTAAACCTCTGAAGAGGATAAATCTGTAAAAGTTAAAACAATACTTTATTGCCGATGATTTTTGGAGGTGATGCTGATCTGCCAGTGGGCGGAGCCAGTGACCCAGTGTCCCCTCTCCTCACAGGGATTCGCCGACCAAGTTGGACAGAGAGGTCCTGCTGGCCCTAATGGGCGTCGACATCGACCCGCAGAAGTTTCCCAGCATCCACAAGTGGAAGAGCACAATGACGTCGTACGCCGCATCGGACATGCAGGGGTGAGTGGACGCAGTCGTTACTTGAATCTGACCGAAGACCGCGTCACTTAAAATACTTCAGTGTTACTATTATAATGTCTTTTAAAAAGTGTGTAGTTCCCTTTTCTATCCACTAGATGGCGCTAGGTTTGCATCAAAGCCCTTTTGCTGTGCCGCGAAAGGGCTCGCACCGATGCTCGCGCCGCCTCTCGGTTGTGTGGTCGATGAGAGCGGCGGTCATGCTAACGTTGTTTCATGCTAACTGTGTTTTGGTGCAGCTGGCCCAGTCCTGTGGTGGTCAAACCACAACTCAGGATGCATCATCATCACCACCACCAGGCTCACAGCTCACCCGTCAGCGACCTGATGTCCCCCAGTGGTCGCTTCAGTCCAGCTCGGCACGCCGCCTCACCGGACTTCAGTCCCACTCGCTACAGCCCGGCCAACACTAGCTACATCGAGCGCATTCGCCTCATGCACTTAAGTGAGCAACCGTAGTAACTCC